GACTGAGCCACCCAGGCGCCCAGTCTTGGGTTTTAATTAGGTTTTTTTTTTTTAATTTATTCATTTGAGACACAGAGATACAGAGAGAGAGAGTGCATGAACGGGGAGAGGCAGAGGCAGGGGGAGAAGCAGGCTCCCCGCTGAGCCGGGAGCCGGATGTGGGGCTCGATCCCAGGACCCTGGGATCATGACCTGAGCCGAAGGCAGACGCTTAACCGACTGAGCCCCCCAGGCCCCCCAAGGTGGTGGTTGTATTACTTGGTGTGTAGATGTTCATGAGCATTATGTCTTCGTTGCAGACTGTGGCTTTTAACATTAAATATATCCCCTTGTGTTTAACCCTTTGTGACGTGAGTTCTACTTGGTCTCCTTCTCTCTCTTTGTTTCATTTACCTTGGTCCGGCCATTTGCTTTCTGGCCTTTCTGACTGACTTTATTTTAGGTATGTCTCTTGTGTACAGGATACAGTTGGGTCTTGTGCTGTGAACTCAATTAAAAACCTTTTTCTCTAAATACGTAAATTAAGTCCATTAATATTTTTTGACATGACTGATTTATTTGCTTGTAACTATCATAATATTTTATAATATGCATATTTTGTTGTATTTGCCATTCCTTTAGGAGATCTGTATTCTTTGCTTTTATATTTTTGATTTTGGATTTAGATAGATTTGTATTTTCTAGTCATTACCTATGTATTTAAACCTATTTTTATGTCCTTAGTAACCCATTTTGTTAAACTCTTTATTGTCTGATTTGTTTTTTTCCCTCGTATTCTTTAATGCACACCTGTTGCTTACACAGTAATGACCTATACATTAATCAGAGTTTTTGCTCTTTACCTCTTCCTTCATCTCACATTTAGTTGAATAATTTCTGTTTTGTCACTGTATGTAATATTTGCACATCAGTCTTCCAGCTTAATTGCACCTTTATTTTGGTCTAATATGTACATCTAAATATTTTTAAATGTGTCTCATAAATCCTTTTGCTGAAATTCTCCCACTCATCACTAGGCAGATAAAGTTTACCCTCACATAGAATCCTCAAGAAGGGCCGACTGGGTGTAGTATTCTCCAAATTCATGGATGTTAAAAACTGCTTTTCTGTAGTCTTGGTAATTGAAGGATGGCTTGCTGGATTTAAAATTCTTGGTTCATACTTGCATTGAATTTATAATGTTGCTCCATTGTTGCCTTGCTTGTGTGTTGGTTTTGAAAGTCTGCTGTTAGTCTACTTCCTTTGCGTATTCATTGATTGGTGCCCCGGGCCTTGAGGACTTTGTCCTTACCTTTGAAATCCCATAGTTTCATTAGGCTGCATCTCAGAGTTGATCCTTCTGGGTTATTTTTCCTGGGTACCCAGTGAGTCCTTTCTTTTGAAGATTTGGGCCTTTCTCTATTCTGGAAATTTTCTTGCAGAGTTAAGTGTTAGCTTTGCTATACTGTTTTGTTTTCCTCTTTTAGGAAGTCTGATTTATGGACATCACTCCTTTGTCTTCTCTCCCCGCCACTTGCTTTCCTCCCCTTTCCCGTCTTTCTCAGTGTCGCTGTCCTCCTCTTGGTTGTGGTCCTGTCTGTCCTCAGTGCCCTTTGTTAGTTTTCATTTGAATTGATTCTCCTTGGGTGCTCTGTAATTGATTCCTCATTTCTGAGGTAATTTTGTTTTCCTTCCATAACTTCCCTGAGTCTGCTCACCTCTCCCCTGCTTTCTCTGTTTTTGTCCTTTTCTGTTTTTAATTCTTCTACGTTTCTAATTCAGGGTGGTATATTTAATTATGTTTTTGGGAGTGTAAATTCCAATTTTCTTTTGACTCGTGGTAGTTTTCAGGAGGACATTTTTATGGTATTGAGTGTTTAAAAGATTGCGAGTCTAGCAGCAGCCTCTTCGGTTGGTTTGGCCAAGTGCAGGGGCCGCCGAGGCAGCTGTTGGCTGGCTGCTCGGCTTTGGTGAGGACAGGCCAGGGTGAATCTAATGATATTCCTCTTTACTCCTAGGACCCTACACTTTTCCTCTTTCTCTTTTAGCTTTACCACTCAGTTGCCGAAGGGTGCTTCTCCCCTCCTCTTTTGTCTGTTTTCTTCCCCGGAATGCCTCTGTAAATGGTGTCTGTCCCCTTACGCTGCATGTGTGGGCCTTGAAGTCCCTTCCCTGATACGGGCACTCAGGCATGTCATAGCTTCTTCATGTTCGTATGGACTTTCTCACCCTTCTGCTGTGCTCCTCTCTGTCTTGTGGTCTTTCCTTCTGACCTGGCTCACCAGAGCTCATGACGGCTGGTGTGAGCTGGGGGCATGAGGGGCCTACACCAGGACCTGGTGGCTTTTCTCTTACCCTTTTCTTCGTATTTCACATTATCTGGCTTCATGTTATGCCCGGGGTGTGGTTTGTTGGAGAATTTGTAGTTTCATTTGGGGAACCATAAGGAAGTCAGTGACTGCGTAGCCAGCCTTGTCTTCAGCCATCCAGAGGTCAAGCACTCACCCAAGAAATTCTTCTCAGTGGGCTGAGGGGCTCAGAGCTCAGCATTTTCCAGTTTAATCCTAAAATTTCCATGTAATCTTTAAGGTATATTAGAGAACAGTAAAACTAGCACTCTAAACCCATGATATAAGGCTTCTATATTGAATAAATCCATTAAGGGAAAAAAAGTCAATTTAGAAAATACAAATAAGTAATAGTATGGATAAGAAACAAATTTGGTAGAAACCATGTCGATGGTTTGCAAGAGACCAGAGAGGCGGAGGGAGCCACAGTGTGTAAGGGCCATGTTTACTGACCTGGCGGGAGCTGTCCAGCAGCAGGGCCCACAGGCTGGCCCAGGGAGCAAGGGATGGACTTCACGACCCTTTGCAAAGGTCTTCCGGCTTCTCAACTTTGTGTCACTGAAAACATTGTTACCCTTCAAAATGCACAAAGTCTTGGGATTTTGAGAGTGAATAATTTTTTTTTTCCTTTAGCGTTAGAGGATTGCTTTTGTAATTTATCTTTTTTAGTTCATGGGAAAGCAAAAACCAAATGCTAACTTTCCCAGAGGTTATCAGTTATGGAGTATATGTGCAACCTGAAAATAAGTGAAATTAATGTACTCTTCAGTGTCAGTAAGACAAAGAATTATTCACATGTGAATTATTTACATTGTATTAAGAAAGTATGGAACTCGAAACTAGGCAAAATGTGTTGAAGCATGTAACTAGTTTCCTGAACAAAATTGATAGATTTTGTATATTTTCAATATCAGTAAACCAGTCACAATAGTTTAGTATAAGAGTTTTGACCAAAATTGTTTCAAATGTCTATTTTAAATCCATAAAGCCAAGTAAACCCCAAACAGTGCTAGAAATAATGAGGTTAAATGTAATTGATGGAACGTGTTCCTGAAAGATGATGTTTAAAGTCACCCCTCAGATGTCCTATAAACTCACTCAGCTCTACAGGGGTCTGTGTTTGCCGCTTAAGTTTGCAGAAAGCAAATCCAATTAGTGTCCTGTGCTCCTGGAGCCATCTCCAGTGAAGTTTCGTGTCTTTCAGAAACGGGCATGCAAGAGAGTAGAAGCGGCCGGGCCAGAATGGGGCTGCGGCCCCGCGAAGCTCAGCGCCCTGGTGTCCTGGAGTGGCGGGGGGCTGCCACGTGTGGGGGTAGGTTCCCGTTCCCACCAAACCAGCTGTGATCCGTTTAAATATTTTAATAAAAAGTGTAAATAATGACTGTCCTGATGCATCTGCGGCTGTGATTTGTTAAATAGATTCCTCAGAACGGTGGAAGGAGCTCAGCCCAGCCTTGCCTGAGATGTATTGCGGGGGAGTCTGTAAGTGCATTCACCTTCTTGCTGTGACATGAAAGACAGACTTGCTCTTAAATATTAGATCCATAAAACAAAGTTAATAAAAACGGCAATTACATTTCTAAGGAATGAGGGATGTAAATAAAAAGATGCAGATTGAGTTAAGCTTTTCTTGGCATTGTACTGGGGTGCAAACTGATTTGTTTCCAGGTTCAGATTGGAAATAGAAATGAAAATACACTTAAAATTTTTTCTTAACACAGGGTTCAGGGGAGGGAACAGGCCACTGGATACGGTTAATAGAGATCATGTGAGGACATCTTGAAGAGAAGCCCTGACCTCAGTTAATTATCCGAATAGGAATGGATGTTGTTTTCTCCTTTCCCTGGTTAAGCTTTCTTTGGTGTTCCCATAAACTTCACAGAAACCACAGATTTCAGAAGGAGAAATGCAGTGTTCACAACATTAATTCAAAGTAAAGGAGGTCTAAGATGACCAGAGTCAGATTCTCAGTTTCCTGAGAATATTGGGCAGAATATCATAAAGAATACACCGGCATAATAATACCTTTGTTATTAATTTTGCACTTACTCTAAGAACAAGTTAATGTCTTTGATAACCTCTGTAATTCTTGTTTTTTTATTTTAAATTTAGAATCTTAATATTGTAGTAAAATAGAATTACGCTTAATTGCCACATAGAAACCAGGAGAGTGTGTGTGTGTGTGTGTGTGTTTAGAAACCAGGTGTATGTGTGTATCTCTGTATATGTGAGTATTTCTTAGGTTGCCCTCTAAAGAGGTTAGAGAAACGTATTGCTCTGCTTTTGATCAGCAAAAGATTGAGTTGATCCGTCCTAAGTTTTTGAATAGGCATATCGCCGGCTACTGTGTTTTACAATGAGAGGCAATGATTTTGTTTTAAATGAAGACCTAATGCTGTGTCAGTTATTGCCCACATGAACCTGATTCTCTGAAGTCATTGGAGAAATACAAAACAAAGCTTAGTGTCCGACTCATTCCACGAAGGTGTGCTTTTCATACTCTTCAGGAGAATGTCTGCATGTTATACTGCATTCCATGGTGTAATCCTGAACAATGGTGAAGTCAAAGATCTAGCAGTTGGAACTTACTGTATTTTAGGTTGATTCCTATAAGAGCCACATATGCCCTAGAATACAAATACATAATGTTTACCTTGAGAAATGTGGCCTCATTGTGACTAAAGTGTGTTAGTGTGGTGACTAACTGGTAACCTTCCTTGTTCTCATCCCATTTCCATGGACTGTATCTTTCAAATCCCCCCGTCTGTTGGGCAAACACTTGGAACGAAATATGGATTCTTTATGCTCTGAGACGTTGTGTTCTGTCATGAATGGCTTAAAGAAGAAAATTTGGCTCAAGCAACTGATTGGATCATTTTAGCTAATATTCTGTTTGAACAACAGTTTCTATTTGATTAGGATTTTTCCTTCCTTTGTAACTCCCCAAGCTTGCCTCTGTTCTGTTTCATAGGAAATGAATCTGTGAGCAGAGAACCTATATTGATATGTAAATATATCATTTTTTCCTTAGTGCTCGATATTCTTTTCATCTAAATTTCAGAAACCGACTTTAAAAAATCAGTTTCCCTTTATCTGTAGTTATTCTCAATAAAATTTCACCCAGGCTTGGGTGATTTAATATTTACACCCACTGTTACAAAAGTCTTATGTAAATAAAGATTGAAATGTGAATTTGAAAAGTCACACCTCTTGATATTTGAACAGACTATAGGTGCATATATCTTCTTTTTCTAATAATATGGCTAGTTTGTCTCCTAAGCTTTTAAAATAATAAGACACTATTTTTATATTCTGGAGCATCAGAAGGTTCAGTGCTAAATAAAAAGCAAACAGTATTTTTAGAAATGCGAGATCCCAGGGAGAAGTGCTTAACAGTAAATCACCGATGGGCAGCAATTCCAAATTTCAGAAGACTTTATTAGACACACAGCTCCATTCACAAATGTGCCCCTGTGTGCATTACTGTGCCCCGTCCTGTACCATTGTTCCTAGAGCAGAGCCAGGGTGGTGACCTGGGCTCAAAGACAAAGGTTGCACTGAGGGGTCTGTGGAGTCCTAACAGGAGACTTGCCTATGAGTCTCAGCTTCTTTGGTGCTTCGCTCACCATA